CTACTTTTGTGTGAGAAAATGTTTTCCCAATTAGTGATCTGTTTGTTTTTAGTAATGTCTCTTTTGCTGTACAGAAGCTCTTTAACTTGCTGTAGTCCCATCTATTTATCTTTGCCTTCAATATTGTGGCGTTGGGTGCTCTGTCTTTAAAGATGAACTGACACTAACATTTAACTGTAATTCTAAACCTAAATATACAGAAACTAAACCGCTAACGCTAAACTAACACTGACCCTACCTAAAATCTAATAGAATCTCATTCTAACCTAAAGCAAAGTCTAACATTAAATCTAGCCCTATAACTGAACCTTCTTTTAATAATTAACTGAAAATTAAACTTATACCTAACCTTAACCATGATTCTAAATTCAAAACCAATCAGAAACCCATTTCTGTCCTTAAGCCTAACTTTCATCCTAACACTAACTTTAAAGCTATCTTACTCTAACTTAAATGGACACCTAACCAAATACCCAATCACTAAACTTAACATAACCTACCTTTTATCTTAAAACTAAATTTTAGCGTGACTTTAAATCTAACACTAACCATGAACCTACAAAAAAAGCCCTAAACTAAAACACCAATCCTTAATTCACCCAAACTAACCTAATCATGATGACAACCCAATCTATCCTAAAGGCTAAAAACTATACTAATCCTAATCCTAAACATCTATTTAAACCTAACACTAAAGATAACTATAACACCAACCTAATCATAAAATCAACCCTAAATATAGTCCTGCCACACCCTAACTAGAAATTTAATACTAATGCTATGCAAACCCTAACCTGAATTTTAATCCCCAAATCAACAAGACCCTAGATCTAACTCTGCTCCTAACCCTATCATTAACTGTATATTAGCACTAACCTTAACTCTAAATCTTCCCCTAACCTTAAACTGACTAAAGTTAACCCTAAACTGACCATTACACTTAATTGAAATTACAATTTGAAACCTAAGTGCAAATCTAATTCTAATATTAAGCCTATTCTTAAAACCAAACATAATTCTTATCATAACACTAACTCAGCTCTTAACCTAACCCAAACCAAACCCTAATTCATCTAAACCTAATTATAACCATAACACTAACTGAAATCCTTATCCTAAGACTAAATCAAATGCTATATTAACCCTAGATCTAAAAGGAACCCTAAAACTAACCCTAATAACACTAAATCTAAATTTACCCAATCTCAAGTTAACAGTAATTTAAACCTAAGCCTAACCTTACTGTAAAACTAACCCTGAACAAATAACTGAACTTAAAACTTTGTCATTACCCATATCCTAATCAGAACTCTAAACCTCTCTTAACCCTAACAATCTTCTCTTGGGCTATATTAGGAATCCAAAGATAATTTGCTTTCTTTCAAATAATTTTCTACTAATATACCGTATACACTAAGAATCTCGTTAGAGTATTATAGAAATGCAAAGATATGTTACTTTGTTTCAACAAAAGTTTTACTGTGATAGTCTACCTACAAAGAATTACCTGAAAGAAAGCAACTTAGTTTTGTTTTTTCATACAACTGATAGCCTTTGTTTCACTGAATATGCCTATCCCTACACTGTGGGGATTTTTAGCATTATTGGAATGTGTTTACACAAACAGAATCATATGACAAAAAACAACTTACATTTTCAGTTTCCTAATACAACTCTCAGTGGATGTCCTTTTTTCAATTTAAATCTTTATTTCAACTGGCAATAAAATAAAATTAAGTATTAAATATTAATTTTGCAGTTCTAAGAATTTTTTCTGTCTTGTTGACTGCTTAGCTGTAATACCTAGCAATTAATTGCTCAATGTTTACTAAGTAAATGTGGGGCAGAAACTGGGGACTATGATGATTCTTCTGTATAATTTTATTTCATTTTTGCTTGTTTTCCTAGGATGGGTCCAGGTAAAGTGGACACAAAAGAAGATCAAAAGTGAGAGACTGACACAATTTAAAGCAGCAGGCTGGCCAGTACTCATTGATTATATTGATCTAACATGTAACACTGATTCTCTTTGGCTTCAGAACAGTTTCAGGATGAGGTTTTGACCAGGGAAGTCCTGCTTGTTAGACTCTAATTTTCAAGTGGCACAAACTTCAGCAAATTACTAACTTCTTTCTGTTTAAGTTTCACATCTGCAAAACTGGGAATAAGTGCATTCTCTTTGTTTTACTAAGTATAGCTCTTGAAAGAGAGTTATTTGAGTGAAAGCATATTACACATTTGGTTCTCTGATTCAACTCTTGCATAAATTTTCTCAGTTTTACTGAAGTATGTCTTTGCAAACACAGATATAAGAAAGAAAGTTAACATGTATTTGGTTTTCTCAAACACTCTAACTTGATATTCTTAGTTTCACTGGGATGCCTACCCATACAGCACTTTTCAAGGGAAGCAACTTTATGGTTGGGGGGATGAATAGTGTACATGATAAGATAGGGCTCCTAAAGCCAGAGGATTTGGAATGGACATGTGACCACCAGGAGACTCTTAGTGTGGAACAATGCAGAAGGACTCTCCAACAGCTGAGGGTACCTCTCTTCCTCTTGTGGTATCGCTTGTGGTCCCTGGAGGCCATATGGATCATGAGATTCACCACCCTGTTGCTGTGGCCGCATTTTGCCATCATGTTACAGATTTCCAAAGGGGCCATCTCTAGTTTTCTGGGTAGCATTGATGGCATGGACTGTAGTCATGCCCTTCACAATGCCAGAGTTGTCATGAATGACCTTGGCCAGGGAGGCCAAGCAGTTGGTGTGTGTTGCCAACAATCTTGAGGAAGTTATACTTCTCATGATTCACACCCAGCCCAAAGATGAAGGTATGGACAAAAGGGGCAGAGATGATGACCCATTTGGCCCCATAATTCAGGTGAGCCCCAGCCTTACACACTAGTCAAAATACAAATGGACTCCACAGCATGTTCAGAACTAGCATTACCTCATTTTATGTTGGTGGGGTCTTGCTCCTGAAAGATGGAGATGGACGTCCAGTTGATAAAAATTCCTGTTCTCCACCTTGATTGTGTCACTGAATATGTCATGGATGGGGTAATACCAGAACATATAGAAAATGTAGTTGTGGTCAGAATGCGTCACTGATGACAACAATACCCATTTTTCCAGATTTAAAGAAGCCTTATTGATTAGGCACCTAATCTGGCCAAATCCATTCACTCCAACTTTTGTCATGGTGTCTGAGATACACCCTGGTTCTGAATGGAAAGAGGCAACTGTGTATAGAACCAGGAAGAGGAGATAGCCAAGGAAAGCAACCTTAACCTACTATTTTCTCATTCAACTCTCAGTGGATAATATTAGTCTGTCTATATAAACAGAATTAATTGAAATAAAGCACTATGGTGCATGGGTGAATTGGTGGGACTTTCATGGGGAAGTCCATATATTGTACAAAAATGAAGGATGATGTAATAAATTTATACATAAAAGAAAGCACCTTCTAATGTACTTATACATGCATATTCTTAGTTGTGCTGGATAGTATCTTTACATAGCTATTTAAAAGGGAACAGCTTAAATCTATGGTTTCATAATAGAGATTATGAATTTTACTGTGATGTCTATACAGAGTTATTTGAAAGAAAGTAACATAGCTATGGTTTATAACTCAATACCAAAATAGAGTCTTAATTTTTCTATCTATACAAGTGGATTTGCTTGTAAGAAAGTAACATATCTCTTTAGTTGTCTCACAATTCTCAGAGGAGTTTTCTGAGGAAAGGAACTTATAGCTTCAGTGTTCTCATACAAATTGTATAGACAGCAGTTTGCTGGGATATGTCAATCTACAAAGTTATTTGAAAAAAAAAAGGAACTAATTCTTTTGATTTTCTGAAACAACTCTTAGAGAATATTGTTAGTTTTATAAATATATGTATCCTCAGGTATAAGAAAGCAATTTGTATGTTTTATTTTCTAATACAACTCTAAGTGAAGAATATTCAGTATTTCTGAAGATTATTTAGTATCACTGCAATAAGGCTATAAAGTATTGATATAAAGTAACATAAATTTGTCTTTTTTTTTTTTTTAAGATTTATTTATTTGTGCTTACAGAACTGGGGTACTGGCCAGAGGTTCAGTGGTGGCAAGAGGCTTCACCAGAGACAGAGTGGGGAGCAGAACAGGCAGATCAAGGAAGCACACTGCTGAGGGGAGCAGCAGGCAGGTCAAGAGAGGTCTGCCCCGCCATGTGGGTCACTTCCCGGGTTGGTGGGGATCGAACTCATGCTAAAGTGGCTTTAGCTTCTTAGTCCTGTGCTTTAACCTGATGCACTACCAGGGAGGGCCCAAATTTGTCTTTTTTTAAAAAAAAAAAGATTATTTATGCATACAAGAACTGGTCTACACCAGAGGTGTGGGGTGGAGGGGTAGGTGAGAGAATTCACCAGAGTAGGGAGCAGAACAGGCAGATTCACTAAAATACACTGTTGAGGGGAGTAGAAGGCAAGACAGGAGAGGTCTGCTGCACCAAGTGGGTCAGCTCCCTGGATAGGGATCACATTCATATTTCCGTGGCTGGCAATAGCTTGACAGCACTGAGATTCAACCCCTGTGCTACAATGGAGGTACCTTACCTTTGCTTTTTAATATAACTTTAGGAGAGTTATATTCTCTCTACATCTATATAGTAAAGCAGTACATAAATCCTTTATATTACTGGAATATGACTATCTACAAAGAGTTATTTAAAAGAGAACAATGTGTATTTTCAGTTTTCTAATAGAAGTCTAGCTTTACTGAAATTTCTCTATGTGTAGAGAATTTTTGTGCTGTTGGGGTTGAGTCCCCAAAGGCATTCCTGAAGCCAAATGTCGTGGAGGTTTTTTTTTTAGTATTTATTTATTTATGCATACAGAACTGGGGTACAGGCTAGAGGTCTAGGGGGTGAGAAGACTCATCAGAGACAGAGTGGGGAGCAGAACAGACAGATGTACTGAAGTACACTGCTGAGGGGGCAGGACAGGAGAGGTCTGCCACACCATGTGGGTCACCTCCCTGGATGGGGATGGAACTCATGCTCAGTGGCTGCTATAGCTTCTTAGTGCTGTGCTTTAGCCCACTGTGCCACCAGGGAGGGCCCAAGTCATGGAGTTCTTTACCTATGTTTTCTGCTGTGAATTTTATGGTTTCAGGCTTACATACAAATCTGCAATCCATTTTGACTTAATTTTTGTCCATGGTGTTAGGTAGTGGTCAAGTTTCAATCAGTTGAGTGTGACTGTCCAGATTGCCCAGCACTTTTAGTGAAGAAACTTTCCTTTTGGAGTGATGTCATCAACATGGCAGCAAAGGGATACTGGGATCAAATTCTTTCATAAAAGCATTTGATAGAAAGTAATAATGGTGAGGTTGTAGCAGGACCAGGACATGTTAAGACAAACTTGGTGGCACCTGTGCTTCACTCAGAATACCAAGGGAATTTGGAAAGACAGGGGAAGGGAAGAAAGAATTATTGACCCCTTTGCCTCTTCCCCACCCACAAAGCTGGTCCCCTACATCTAGAAGTAAGGGAGGATAAACTTGAAGGCAAGAAGCCAGGTAAATCTTGAGACAGCTGAGGGGTTCAGGCAAGCAGGGCCTCCCCATAGACATACAGTGCCTGAGTGGACCCCATTATTGTGGTGCCTTCCCTATTTCTCCCTTACTGGAGACCAGCAGGACCATTTAACCAGTTGGTCGCACTTAAGTGGGAAGGATATCAGGGTAAGCCAAATAGGACTGGTCTCTACATGGGATACTTTTGGTACCCCAAGCCCTCAGGTGAGGGCAGCTACATGAGTACCACCACTACCACCACCAATTCACTTACCTCATGGGTCCAGAAGGTGTGCCGACACTCCCACACAATTGCAGTACATTCTGTGCCCTTCTCTTTTGTGCTTGGTTTTTTATCTACACTCCCTGGGAAGACTATCCTACTTAGCCTTATGGCAGTCCCCAGTGAACCAGATAAAAACAGTGACTAGCTCATTGGGAACCATCAGAGTCCTAAGAAGCAATTGTTTCCCATCTGTTTGTATGTTTGTTTATTGTTCAGTTAATTGTCTGTTATTCATTTCCTTCTCTTTTACTATTATTTTCTGATTTTTTTCTTTGCTTGAACATTACCATCAATACTTTCTCTTCTTCAGTTACATTCCCTCTCCTTCCTCCCACTCCTTTTTCCTCTTCCCCATCTAGCCATTTTTTCCTTCACCTTTGTTCCTTCTACATTTCCATATCATTTTCCTGTTTCTTCTCATCCCTTCTTTCTCTCTTCAATCACTTTGATCCTGGTATTCTTCTGAGATAGCTTAAAAGAACCTAGAAGTTCAACGGAAATACATACCTTGACCTCAGCATGTGTCTGGAGGTGCAGTATTCCACCAAAGATTGTCGACTACCACAGACTGAGATGTCTGATTGAATACTACACAGTGGGAGCCTGAAAAACACAAAGCACGGCTCAGAACAACACATACTACACAATACAATACAATACAACACAACACAATCCAATCCAATCCAGATGTGTATCCAGAAATAGCAGCTCCAACACTAGGCAGATACATCCATACCTGAGCAAAGAGAAATCAGAAGTTATACCTAGTGGCACCAGTGCTACAGGGGCACTACTAACAAAACAAAGCCAAAGGCTAACAATAGGAAGAAAAAAAATTACAAATGACCCTTTGGGAATAATACACCACTGAAAGAAAGTCAACCTCCAGAACCAGATAACAATGGCCATGGAAAAATCTCCACCTAACAAAGAATTCAAGAGGCCATAATGAAAACAACTAAAGAGTTAAGATAAAACACATAAAAGATAAGAATACAATCAGTTAACTGGGGAAGAAAGTAACAGAACTGGAGGATATCCACAGATTAGAGAGGAAGAAGCTTAAGAATTTTGGGAAAAGAGCTGTTTGCTGTTGGTGTGGACCAACAACTCACAAAGAGCTGTTAACATCGATATCTTTGACAATTGCTTCCTGGTGACTAGTGACCATCACTACTGACCACTGCTGTCCAGCACTGTTGATAGGTGACTGGCACTTCTAGTTGATTTGCACTGCCTCCCTCCCAGTGCTGTTATCTCCAGTGCTTCAGACTTGCTGCGGGGTGCTACAGTGTCATCTCAGTGACCCTCACCTGTGAGCACCTCCAGCTGTGGTGAGTTGGATCCTGACCCACTGCTTGCTAGTATGCCATAAACTGTAGCCCCTTGTTGACCTGACAGCACCATATTAATTGAGTGATCTTTGTTTGGGCATTGTGGATACTATCTGAGATGAGAAAGCCAGTTACCTGTGGCCTTAGAAACTGTTTCCTCTGTTTGTTTAAACAAACTCCATTGTTCTTTGAGGCCCCATGGTCTTGCATTTGTGTAAAGGGGTGAGAATTCAGAGACAGTGACCAATCCCTTACTGAGCATTGCCCATTGACCAGCTATAGCACCTTTATAGTACTGCTTCAGAAGTACAAGGTCTCTGGTGACACTGCCCACCTACAATCTAATTTGTCATCTGTGTTTTTAAGAAATTCTCTTGATTTTTGATCGCCGAAATCTAAGAAGATTCTGCTCTGGATACTTATGCCACAGTTATAAGTGGGGGAAAACAGCATTCCTTTCTTTGGCCATCAACATCTGCCCCTCCTTAGCTAGTCTAGATCATGGAATTTATAGCCTACTTCCGACTTTCGTTTTATTTTTATTTAAGGTGAACCGCTGACTGCTGAAACAGACCACAGAACAGCTTTATTTAAAATAAAAGAAAAATATTGGGCCCTCCCTGGTGGCGCATCGGGTTAAAGCACTGCACAAAGAAGCTTAAGCCACTTCCGCATGAGTTCGATCCCCGCCTGCCCTGGAGGAGATCCACCTGGCGCGGCAGACCTCTCCTGACCCGCCCGCTCAGCAGTGTACTTCATCAGTCTGCCTGTTCTGCCCCCACTCTGTCCCTGGTGAATCCTCTCACCCTCCGCATCTCTGGCCTGTACCCCAGTTCTGTACAAATAAATAAATCTTTAAAAAAAGAAAGAAAGAAAAATAGGTGGCTGACCTCCACAGAAGCATGAGCCAGCAGTTCCTCAAATGAAACAAGCCAGCGAAGCGATTGGGCCAGAGTGCGCCTTCAGGAGCCCTGGCCCGAGAAGGGGACCAGTTGCGCGGAAACTTTCGCTACTCAAAAAGAGCTCTCCGCAAGGCACACCCAGTCTCTAAACCGACCGCCGGCGCTCACTTACTCCCCTGGGAAGATGGAATGGCAGTGAACCCGCAACTCACACCACGGCTTCCTCCAACTGCAGTGCGCTTCGATATGCGCGCTGAGCGGCAGGGACCGCGCACCTAGAGAGAGTCCGGCCCCTCATCCCCGGGCCCTCCCATTGCTGCGCGCGGCGAAGTTTAGTTCTGTGTGGGCGGTGTTCCCGCGAGCCCCGCCCCTCACCCAGACGCCCGCCCATTGCTGCACACGGCGCAAAGTTTAGGCCTGTGTGGGCGGTATTCCCTCGAAGCCCCGCCCCTTGCCCAGGCGCCCGCCCCTTGCAGCGCGGGCCGCGTAGCGTTTAGAGCGGTACGGAAGGTTTTTCCTGGAAGCCCCGCCCCTCTCCCGCTGGCGAGGCGGTGCTCATCCTCCCGCGCCCGGAGGAGGTGGGGCACGTGAAGATGTCTGGCGGGGGCCGCTGTGGAGGACCGAAGGTAGGCTGTGAGCGCGTGTTGGCTCCTGCCCGGCTCGCTCTGAGTGCGCCCTCTTTTCTACTCTCCCTGAAAACCCGTAGCCCGGCCGGCAGGTTCGGCTCAGTTCCCCCCGTCGGCGGGCGGGACTTCCCCGGACCGACCTACTCGGGAGGCTGGCTCTGTGCGTGTGGATCTACCTACCTGCTGACAACTGTTGTGGGTTAAGTCTATGGGTGATTGCAGGGCCAGACTCGGCCCTCGCAGCAGGTGTCCTGTCCAGGTGCGCGGACTGGACCTCGGGCTCTTGGCGGTCTGGGGGAGGAGCCCGCTAAGTCTTAGAGCGTAGACCTACTTCCTAGGGAAGGAGAGGGACCAGGGTCACCTCACAGTGGTAACAAAAATGGGTGCATAGAATTGAATCTCACCGAGCGAGTGAGACGTTGTTTAGCAGTTGTCTCAGACTCATCTGCTACGCCAAGCCAGCAAAAGAAGTTGGGATGACCCTCCAATCTCGGTGACTTCCTTTTCTTTTATACAAGAGTTTTTTCTGTAGCTTTTGCTTCATTGGGGGAGGAGTCTGAAGCTAACTGCTGTAAAGCTCATTATACTAGTCTACCACTCATTCCCTTTTCATCTTTAAAGCTCTAAGTTTCTTTCATACAAAGAGCCTTTTTATTATACTAACACAGACTTTGAAAATGCAGCACAATGCCTCCTTCCTATACTCCTACCTTTTCAAGTCAAGTTTCCTGGAAAAAAAAAAAAAACAAGTTGACATATACTGGTTCAGTTTCCTTATGCTACCTTATATTTTCTTGCTTTTGGAATATCAGACAGTATCAATTTTGTAACTGAGTTTAGGAACTAAAAGAAACCTAGATCAAACATTTGAAACATATTTCAGAAATTTGTTTCAGAAATACAAAAACATGGTAAAATAGTGAAGGAGAATGAGATTGCTGAATAATAGTCACTTATGTGGTCAGTGTAATCTTTTACATTTACCACATGCTTTTAGTGTTTTGGCTCATCATTGAATGTTGCTATTCTAATTCTTTATCTTGCAATAACTCATCATTAATATTTGACCTTTTGCTGCTTCTCACTTTATAAATTTTTTCTGGGCGATGTCATATATTGATATTAGCTGTAGCTCTAACTACTATATGGATGATCTACAGATCTGTATTTGACATTTCTCTTCAGTTCAGTGTACTGTAAAATCACCATTCTTTCACTCCCTGGCCATTAGTCCACTAGACCCTAATAGTTTTGTTGTTACTCTGGCTTCAGATATTGATAGTAACATGAGGAATGCCTGAGACACTCAACTGAGCTCTTGCTGTTACAGGCCCCTCCCCAAAAGAGTGGGTCCCTTGACTTTTAGGAAGATAACTCACCAGTTAGTGCTAAGTATAGTTGAAGCAGGTTGCAGATTATTACAGATTCATGCATGAGGAAACAAATGTTGAAAGGAGAATTCAACCATATTCCTTGAAGGGAACATCATAGCTTGTTCTGGGTTGGGCTATATCCAGGCACACTGGTTATTGGAATAATTGTATATGTGGGCTTTTAGCTTTCTCCTTCCAGGAATTGTGAGGGTAATCATTAGTTAAGACCTGATACTTTTTGTTTAATATGCACTGTATGTTTACTGTTTGGGTCAAATTATTTGGACAGGTTGTTGGGACAGGGCTAGTGATTCAGCCTATGTTCAGATAGGACTTGCTGCGCCTCTTATGCTTCTGACTGGAAATTTCTTGAACCTAGACCATCTCATTTCCCTGAGATATTATAACTCCTTAGTCTTAAGGAGATTTGTGTGTGTGTGTGTGTGCCATTGTCAAGCTATATTTAATTTGTATTTTTTTATATCACTCATTCTCTAAGGAAATTTTGGACAGACGGCTTCATCTTCTGTAGCTACTTCCTGCTGGTTAGGGTTGTTCCTAACTCCTTGAGGAGTGAAAATACCTCACTGATCTAGCAAGTGGTAGCAAAGTTTGCTCTCCTAGGTATGGATGGTTTGGAAGCCTTGTGTCAACATCATTTCAGTGTGGAACTGTTAGAACCTAGAAGATATAATCTTTATCAACATGTTAAATAGGCAGGATATGGGATAACAAGGATGTTAAAGGATGTTAAACCTTGATGTGGGGTGACAAAGTCTACACATCATTTGCCTATGGCTTAAAACCATTTTAAATACTGGCAAGCCACATTCTAAGTCATCTATCCATCTTGTATTAAAGTTTCAGTTTTCCATTAATCCAGTTCAAATATTTTTTAAAGAAACAAGTTTAGACATTTAGAAAGCTATCCAGTTCAGTTTACAGTTAAAAGACAAACATATAAAAAAATAAAAAGGAACAGAAACTAATATCCAAAAAAATGTTACTAAAACATAGTATCTCTTCATCCTTACTCAAGTTCTACCAAATAATGGCAGCAAAACTCATTTACAAGTTTTGCCTAGTTTTACTAAACTTGGCTAGTTGTTTTGCATAAATAAAACCAAAATAAAATATAACTGTATACTTTCAATGAAAATTTGCTTTTAGTTAGAATTTTCACATTGAGATCTTAACCATCAACGACTCAGAGCAGTAGATTATGCCAGGGTCTCACTGTTAGACTTTACATGTGGTATTTATATCTTTGGTTAAGTTACTCCTTAAGGTATGCCAAGTGATAACTTTCCTTGTGCTTTTCCTGATAGACCTGATAGACCTTGAAAACAAGGTATCAAGTTGACTTTTTCCTGAAGGCTCTTGAGATCTGAATTTCAAAATCCAATCAAAATCTCAGTTTTTGACTATTCTATGATAGAGGAAAAAGGTAATTCTTACTGGATTTATGCACAGTAACACATTGCCATACTAAACTCACACATATGTATTCACATTTTGGGATGGGAGAGAAAGAAAAGCAAATGTTTCAGTTCTGCTCACAAAAAATGAATATAGCTCAAAGAAATAAACTTCTGGAAATAAAAAAGCAAAATGTTACAAACTAATTTCAAAAGTTGTAAAATTGTATTTATTGGTCTTCAATTATATAGTCTCACGCAGAAAATTGTATTTATTGGTCTTCAATTATATAGTCTCACGCAGCAGATCTCAATATTTTGTTAGCAATTTTCCTAAGTCCAGTTTTTCTATAGGCACAGTATTTTTCTTCAGTTCCATGGCAAACCTTTATTTTCCATACTATCAATCTTCTGTTATTGTTCTGAAAACTAATTTTAGTAAGTTACTTCCATAAATAGCAAAAGATTTAAATCTGTTTATAAAGCAGTACACAGGATGTTTGTTCACCTTTGTGTTACACATATTGTAGAATAATCAAAGTTAATCAATAATATTATATTAGAATATATTAGGCATTAAGTTTTATGTGCTTTAGAACTCTTCTACTAATTTATATACATGCTGAGGTGTAACCACTTCTCCCTGTGATAATACTTCCCATGAAGTTTCAATATTCCAAGCCCTCACTGGGGTTTTATGCAGTCACTGGTTTGACCCTGACCTTCTTGGATATCTAGCCAGTATTCTAGAAAGTTGGGATTTCAGTCTGCATTTATTGTAGATGTCTGTGGTCCCAACCAGTGCTTAAAGACAGGTGTGATGGGGGCATCCCACTCACTACCTTTGAGTACATTAGACTTGGGGTATTAATCTGTTTTATCATGGGTGTCTATTACAGCTGTACATCCAAGCAGACTCTAGGATGCCTAATGCTAAAACACCCTATCTTAAGCTGGACAGATTACAAGAAATGACACAAAAAGGTTGCAAGAAGAGGAAGCAGAATACCCCACAGCCAGAGGGTGTCAGATACTGATAGTCCTGAAACTGAAGCATATGTCCAGGTATTTGCTTTTTGAGAACAGAGGAGCTTCCCATGCTACTCGATTGCAGTGACATGTCACTCAGTTTGAGGTAGGAAAATCTCTTGTCCTACACTCAAACCTTGGCAACATAGCCAAGGATAAATGGTTCAGGCTGTTACTTGTAGCAAGCCCACATAGACATTCCTCCATCTTACTCCCTTCTATTCAACCAGAGCCAATGTTGTGGCTGGACTTGACCTTATGATTCTGATTATGGTTACAGGATGCACTTAAGCAAAAAACATCAGGGAACTTTGAAGAACAAGATGATTTGTTGCCAGGTTCTGGAGGGTATATGATATACCCACATGCAACATAGTGAGATTGATGAAAGATGGGAAGAGGAAAAGAGGAGGGCAGGTTTTTGGACCTGAGGTTTGCCTTTATTAGGGTCTGAGGTTGGGGTGTCTTAAGGTTTTGTGGGTTCACTGTTGGCTAATTAAAAACATATGAAGAGGAGTTAGGGTGTTGGAAGGGAGAAGTAGGGTTAGTTTTCTAAGTTATCCTGGGCTTTCTGAAAGAAGAAACTTGGTGGGTGGCACAGCCTAATTACTTTCCTAGCTTTTTACAAGTAGCTGTGTCACATAGCTGGCAATGTGTTTCTTCAAAGTGTGTATCTCTGAAATCTGTACTTTCAAACAAAAGCCTTATGTCAGTGAGTAAAAAGACAATGTCAGTCTCTTAGTGGGCAGACTGAGTTGTACTCCGAGACCCCGCTTTCCCAGACTTGCATTTTCTAGATGAGTTCTGCCATCAGCTACGTGAAGGCAAAGCATACTTAGTTACTAAGACCTTCAGTAGAAAAGAAATTTTATAGGATTAGTGTGTGTAGAGAGAAGAGAAGAAAGGATAATAGTTTCCCAGTAAAACAACCAAAGTTACCCATCCCTTCCAGGGTAAATGATCAGCCATACTGGGTTGGCCCAAAACAGGGCCACTGAGGCTCAAAGTCTAGTGTACTTTCAGACAGGGAACCATTGAAATGGGTAAGACAAGTTTTGGGCAGAAAGAGCAAAATCAAAGTACAAGTCAAGATAAAGATTGCCATTGTCAGCCTCCCTGTGGGTCTCTCACCCACATCTCTTCCAAGTGTCTCTTTGTGTGTCCCACAAGTGTCTGGTGC